CAATCATTGTGGGTTAGATACAAAACAATTAGGAAAAATATAGATATATTAAACTATAACTTGTCAGTTTGACTAACAAAAAAAAATTCAACAGATTTGATTCTAATGTTTTCCTTCAAAAGGATTTTCTGACACTTTTGTATTTTATGTGGAAGTATTTTGAAAAGTTGTAAAAGTTAAGCATAAATGGAGACAATTGTTTTGGTTTAAAAAAGTGGGAAAGTCACGGCAAACAGTATAATCATGACGTATGCAATGTTTCTGTTTTCATTGGTGTGGAGTCTTGTGTTGTTGCTGCAGCTCAAGGCCTTCACCAGCATCTTTTTGTTTAATTTCTTCCATGAGCTTATGGTAGCATCTAACCACAGTTTCCTCCACCTTCTTCTAGATCTTTCTTCTTCTGTTCTACTCTGGCAAATGACGGTCTGGAAATTTGACTTTTGTTCTTCCCATCTTCAAGCAACATCTAAAACAAACCCACAATGGTAGCTGGCGCATTGGTCATTGCAGGCTAACAGGCCAAGCTGAGGTTCTTCTTCCATGAAGCAGCTCTGTTGTCRTCCATCCACATTTTCAATTTCAGACTGAATCATTTCTACCTTCTCCTCTCTGTCAACGCTCTCTGGTTTCATTTAAAAGAGTCGATCGTCAGATATTGTCCAAGATTAACCTTCAGGGTGGATATAGCTCGCTAGCAGCCTCACACTGAAGACCTATCCACGTCATCATTTACCCAGAATGCTTTGCTTTGCGTGTAAATAAAATGTCCCCGTCCGTGTACTGCATCAAAGCATCCCCTGGATGTCGTTTTACCAACGTATTCTTTAAGATTTATGTTGCTAAATTTTACTGAAGATTTTGCAGACGTCTTCTCCTTCAACATGACAGACAAGAACAACAATGACAATGCATAAAAGTACCACAAATAGACCACAGTATTGTGGTAGTGCAGACAGAGCATTTGCATTTTTTTTTACTACGAAATGTGACAATAATACTGTATTAGACTGCTGCAAGAACTTTTATTATTGTGGGGTATACAGAATGTGAGGTACGGTATTTTTGACATTTAAAAGTGTTTAAGCAAGTCAGAGTCATGAAAGAAAGAAGGGGTATTACATTTCAAATGAATACTTCATTACTTGCATAATAACTATGTTAACATAAAAAAATTTAAAAGATACTACATTATGCATCTGTAGATGAGACGTGCATTTTAAGTTTGGATTTTACAGTGCGTGAACATTAAATTGATGAATGCAGCAGAGTGTCAGCCTGTAAGGAAACTGSAAYTGTCYACAGAGGCATGACCTTGGAGCTCAGCACAAGCAGTGATTCTTGCACAATTTGTTGGTTTCCTGCTCATCCTGACTCAAACCTCCTGAGGAGAAAGCAASAAAGCTCCACTTAATCTGAGACGTCTCTGCTCAGTTTTCAATGAAATACCTAAAGTAGTTTAGGTCCTAACACCTGCTCATACTTCCTGTTTCCAGCCTATTAAAATTCCAAGCACCGACTCTTCCCTTACTGGCACTGTAATGAGCTATGTTAATGTAATGAGATGATCAGTGTTACACATTTCGCTTGTCTACAAAACCGAGAGGTGCTAATGTTGCTGCTGACAGGAGCGTAATGATTACAGAGCTAATTTTTCATAGTATGTTACTTTTTTCACACTTGATTTACTTTCTGTAACAGTTTTCTTTCTTCTGATTGACATATCTGTAAATATCACCCACCGCTGAAAGCAGAGAGGTGATAATCTGTGTGCATGCATGTGTACATTTGTCCGTCACGTTACCAAAATATCTTCTGAACCACTGGACATACTTTAATACAATTTCTGAAGAATATTCATTGGATTTATCTCTACAACTGATTAACTTTTGGAGTTAACCCAATTCAAAAAGGCAGCCACAGTCAAATGAATCTACAAGACACATGAGCGGCTGTAACTCAGCCAGTTTACAAATACTTTGCTCAAATTTGATCTAGTAGTAGCTGATAGTCATCCTCAACATATGCTCCAAGCGCTAACAGATAGGAGAATTCTAGCCTCTTGATTTAGACATAGAATAATTAAAATAATGCTTGGAGTATTAGGAGTAAAAACTTCCTGTTGTTGACGAGATGAAGAAAAAAAATACTTATGTGTGTGTTCAACCACCATGGCACAAACAAGTGGTTTGAAGTCACAAGAACACAAGATTTTAATGACATCTGTAAACTTTTAGCTTAGATTTCAATTTTCTCTCGTTTCACAAGATTTTTATGGTTTGATTGCCTGTCATGAGACTGCAAGCCGTATGACAACCCTCAGCTCGGCTGTCAAACAAAATCACATTATTGATACAGGACAGATGAAAGATCAATTACATGTTAAATTTTTATGAAAAAAATGCAAACTTGGAATATTCCTCTGTGTTCCTTTTTTGTCTGTTTATGATTGCACTTCTACTTTTTCAGTTTGATTACAAAATTATCTTTCTACTCAGTCTTGACAGAACAGCTAGAGCTAAAATTTGCACCATTTACCAATTGTAACGAAGATAAAAGAAAAAAAACAGAACAGCTGGTTTCAAATTTCCCCAAAATTACCTGAATAAATAAATAAATAAATAAATAAATAAATAAATAAATAAATAAATAAATAAATAAATAAATAAAAAGACAAAGCAACACATACTTCTTCACAGTTGCTGTATGTGTTTTGCTTTTCATCCAGGAAGTTTTACCACCTTAAAAAAGGCAGCAACTGGTTTGAAACAACTGTGAGTACAAAGTTTTGCACGTTTTACTGTGTGTTTAGGTTGAACAGATTTACATAAGTGTGTGTATTTTAAACTTTTTTAAAATGTAACATGATATTATTTTTAGTCCACAGTTACCTGAAGAAAAAAAAATCAAGCCGAGGCAACATTTCAGGTAAATCCTGAAAGTTCTTGTAAATTACTCAAACTTTCAGTGAGTAGGTGTCAGCTAAAGAAGCAACCACCTTTTTAAAGAAAACACAACAAAGCAAGTTGCATTTTTTTTTCCTGTGTAGGATAGTTTCTGTCTGCACGGTTTCATAGAAAACAGTTTGGTGATAAATCACGTTTGCAAGACTGCTTGCATGTTTGACTGGAATCAGAGAACATAAAATCCCATCTGTGGTTTTTAATGTAAAAACACAATGCTCATAATTCTTGTGACTTAATTTTGTCAAAAAAAAAAGTGCTGAGCGACCAATGCTCACAGAAAACTAAATGAGTAACTCTGATGTTCCCTAATTTGCTGAAGTTCACAGTGACACCATGGGAGCTTCTCATAACTCAAAACTCCACCCATTGTTTTGTTTTTTGCTGAGCACATGATGGCCACCAGACAGGAACACAGGAATCATAACTGGTCACCTATATAAAGACTGTCAAACACCGCTGTGTGTGACAGGCAGAAGGAGGTACCTCGATCTTCAACGCACTCACACCCACTGAGAGCCAGGTAAGCTGCTCCACTGCTGATAACAAGACTCTGTAATATATTAACACTGACACAAAGGGAGGAAAAAAGGGAGTTGGAAGATAAGATGAAAGAGAAATTAAAAGAAAGTAGGTTATAGCTGGTATGTTGTGCAGTAAAGTGGTGACATCAGACATTATATCAGAAAGAAGTGGTTAAAAAACAGGCACAACCTGTGTGGGTRCTGCATGTCATGAAGGATGTCTGCTTTCTTTTGTCCTGTTCAGTAAAGATGAAGTTACTGCTTGTTGCTGCTGCTGTTCTGGCTGTGGCCAGCTGTGCCACCATTTCTCTGGAAGACCTCGAGTTTCACGCCTGGAAACTTAAGTTTGGTGAGAAACTAATACTGTTTTATTATTTGTTGTCTGGCTTATTTTCCCTTTTTTTCTGATTATGTCTTTATTTATATATTTATTTTTCTGACTGGCAGGGAGATCATACAGCTCTTCAACGGAGGAGGCTCAACGCAAGCAAATCTGGCTCAACAACCGCAAAGTGGTGCTGGTGCACAACATCATGGCAGATCAGGGCATCAAGTCCTACCACCTTGGCATGACCTACTTTGCTGACATGGTATTTGAAGGAAGGCACAAACTATTGTCCATCTTCTGAAAATGGATGGAATCACTCAGCTTTGTCACTTTCTTTGACTTATTGTTTCTCTCATCTTTTTAAAATTTTTTTAGGAAAATGAAGAGTACAGGCGTCTGATTTCCAAGGGCTGTCTGCAAGCGTTTAACACCTCTCTGCCCCGCCGTGGCTCTACTTTCTTCGGCCTTCCTGAAGGAACCCCTCTGCCCGACACTGTTGACTGGAGGGACAAGGGATACGTCACAGACATCAAGGACCAGAAGCAGTGTGGCTCCTGCTGGGCCTTCAGTGCAGTATGTATAAGAATATCTTGATGATTTATCAATCCACAAAGGTTCACGTGATATACAGTGCTTTACATTTAAAATGGACTTCTCTGRGCCTTAGACTGGATCACTGGAGGGTCAAACTTTCAGGAAGACAGGAAAGTTGGTGTCTCTGAGTGAGCAGCAGCTGGTCGACTGCTCTGGTGACTACGGTAACATGGGCTGTGATGGAGGCTTGATGGATTATGCCTTCCAGTATATCAAAGCAAATGGAGGGATCGATACAGAGGTTTCCTACCCTTATGAGGCAGAGGTAAATATAAAGCTGTGTTGGACTTTCATTGGAYAGCTGCACATTACTGCCATCTKGTGGAATTAATTGATATTAGTTTTAGACAAAAATTAAATKTTCTGCTCTAATGCCTTTGCACTGTGCCAGTATGGAAATGTTTGGTGAACTGTGCTATCTTCTCTCTTAATTAGGATGGACAATGCCGTTACAACCCTAATACCATTGGTGCCACCTGCACAGGCTATGTTGATGTAACTCAAGGAGATGAAAACGCTCTGAAGGAGGCTGTGGCCACCATCGGACCAGTGTCTATAGGCATTGATGCGGGTCATATGTCCTTCCAGCTTTATGAACATGGTGGGTACTTTTAATATTATAAATTKACCAGGAAATAGTCCTTTACTACTCAGTGTGTCCATTTAACTGAAGAACATGTGCTTCAGGGGTGTATGATGAGCCTGAATGCAGCAGCACTGAATTGGATCATGGTGTGCTGATTGTGGGTTATGGCACTGATCAGGGGAAGGATTACTGGCTGGTCAAGAACAGGTAAATATGTAGCTTTTATTTTAACGAAGGCAAAAAACTGTTTTAACAGCGAGCATCATGAGGGCCTTTTATACMTTGAATGGGTGAAACATTGTTTTATTGTGTGTTTGTGCAGCTGGGGTCTTCAATGGGGAGACAAGGGCTACATTAAGATGACCAGAAACAAAAATAACCAGTGTGGAGTTGCCACTGCAGCCAGCTACCCCCTGGTCTGAACAGGTCAGAAGAAACTATATTTTTCTTTTTTTTCCCCGCCGTTTAAAACTTTGGAATATTTGCCCAGATAAGCWTGAAACTATTTTAACAGTTATTTCTTGGTTTACAGGTCCGCTTCGTRGATCTTCTGGAACGAGGAGTTGAATAGTGACAAATAATTACCTTTAATTGTTATTTTTTAATCATGTTGTGTAACGCACGATATTAATTATGTATTGTAGCAATTTGTATTTTATTTTCATACATGTTAATATGGACCCCTGTTGCACTTTTAATAACTGTTTATGAACACTGTGAATTGATGTAAGGAAATAAAACATTTGACACTAAAACAGAAAAAACTGTAAATGTCTTCTTTGTTAATCTTCATCGTCTT